CCCACTATAGGGCGCGTGCGTTCGCCAGACAGACAGAGAAAGACATAGAGACAGAAAGCGAAAAATCACCCCCCAGGGGGGATGGTCACACCGCAATCCCTTCTCCTCCATTCTCCTCTCGGGATCTTGGGCATGCACGCACACGTGCCCAGTGTGAATTTTAAGCCACCAGGTCCAGGACGCAAACCGCGGTCGACTACGTGAGAGTCCAGTGACATAGCCATTACACTAACTGCTGGTTCCCCATTCGGCCTTTCTTCAGGGTGGTTAGCGAGTACATTTTCGAGTACATGAAGCTGACAAGGCTTACATTTCAGGGCTCCTCGCTTGCACAGGCCCATTCCAGGGCCCGAGTCAGAGTCCTAGCAATTTTGTAGGACTATTCTATCATTTTTCTTTTGAAAGGGCACTCGATTTTATAAACTTAAAGCCTCACAAAACTTGGATCTGCCCTTATGAGTATGGCTTCTTTCACATCTCCAGCTCAGTGTCAATTTTAGGATGGTTATTTCTGTCTTGCTCTAATTTGGGCACCTTTGGTCTGTTTTCCCCACTTCTGTTACAAGATGAAGTGTCAGGAAGCCCTTTCCCCAACATGCTAAGCCTCTGGTTACCCATGTGCCCTCTTGGTGAGGTCATTGTTCCTGTTCTTCCTCATCACTTTGTCATGGTGTGTATACAGAGGTGATGCCATAGTTTCTGACTCTGGAGCTAGACCAGTGTTGTCAAAAGGGAGGATGTGTTCTCAGAGTCCCATTGAGGTGCAACCTGTCTGCCTTCCACCCTGGGCTTCTTTATTGTGGCCGGTAAGGAAGCTTCTGCTAGGCAGAATCTTGGTCAAGTTCTGACACTGGGGGAGAGTGGTTGTGAAGTAAAAAAGGCCCTAATCTCTCTAATTAAATTCTGCACCCCTGTCATGATCTCGTCCCTGATGTTTCAAACCCTCATGAATAAATGGGGTTTTATTATACAGACTTTTCTTTTTAACCTTTTCACCCCGAATTTAATGAGCACCCATTAATATAGTACCTTAACAATGGTACCTCTTTGGGAGAATGTGCTCAGGAATCATGATGTGTCATGGCTATCCCGTTTGTCACCCCACTGGGATGTAGACAGGTCCAGGATGACAACCCAAGGACAATGCCAACAGCCTCAGCTAGCCTCAGACAAGGGTCATCACTGGAGAGGGCAGCAGTGGGAAGGACCTGCCAAGAGGACTCTTCAGATTTGCTTCCTCACTTGCCCCAAAAAACTCCAGAAAGGAAGTCCAGGAGGAATCCAGGTCATTTATTATTTCTAGAAGAGGTCAGGTGGAGAAGGGGGCAGGGCCACAGTCCTTTACTGGAAAGTGACAAAGGGAATTTTCAATGCCAAACAGCCTGTTGGTCAGGGAGTATGAGATTGCGCCTGTTGGTATTTTCAGTGCCAGATGAGGAAGGGCTTATGAAATCAAACTGGGGACAGCCTGGAGCATCCCAGGAGCCTGTCCTGTGCCAGGCTCCATGGATCCCGAGAGAGCCAGTACCCTTAGTATATGTGTGTGAGGGGAGGCGGGCTGTGTCAGAGGCCCCACTGTGTAGGAATAGTTCAGCTGTTAGGAATGCTGTGTCTGAGGTCAGCCCAAGCATTTGCCGGTGGTGCTCAGCCCCCTATTGCAAGAGCCCTGCTCCATTCCGAGTGGGCTCTGTTCACCCTTCCTTTGTGCCAGGTAAGCTGCTTTTCTCCCTGCACTGGGGTTAGTCTGTGCTTATGGTGCCAGTCTCTCCTGTGAGTTGTGGTCTGTGTTTATTGTGTCTTGATGGGTCTGTGCTTGTAGGGAATGGTGGGTCCTGCCTCAGCTCCCACACGCCTTCGGCACTCAGCCAGGCCCCAGCGTGCTGATGGTGGTGTAGCTCAGCCTGGACAGAGAAGCAATAGATGGGGTGGGAGGGTCCTCGTCTGGAAGAGGCCTGGGGCGAGCTCGCGGAGGCCGAGGGCAGCAGCGGGCACATGTGTCCAGGGAGGCCTGGCGAAAGCGGCGGTGCATGAAGCAATAGACCAGCGGGTTGACGCAGGCCGAGGCGTAGCTCAGCAAGTGAATGAAGGAGATCGGCGCCCCCGAGAGAGCGCGATGTGCACTCTGGCCGTCAAAGGCGCGCCACGTGTTGGCACTGAACACCGGCAGCCAACACAGGAAAAAAAGCACAACAATCACCAAGAGCATTCGCACCACGCGCTTCTTGGCCAGCAGCTTGGCCTGGGTGGGTCTGGGGCCAGGTGCTACCCCAGGGGTGGCTGCTGTCAGCACTGACAGCTCCAGGGCGGGCCGGGAACGTGGAAGTTGCACGTAGCAGCCGTCGCTGTCCTCGCCAGCCAGGCCCGACTCTGTCCTGCAGCGTCCATTCTGGTGGACAGGACCTGAGTACAGAGGGAGGGTGATCAGAGCGGAAGGCGGAGCCCTCCTAGCCCCCAGCCCAACCCGCACCTGATCCCGCCAGCAGGAGCCTCCTCACTCTGGCTGCTGCCTCATCCTCCCTAGCCCCGCCCTCTTTCCCAAAGCTCCACCCCTCTCGATTTCCGCTGACCTGGTCCAGCTCCATTGGGCATCCCTCCATGGCTCCGGACTCTGCTTTGGCTTTCGCGGTCACTGTCACAGTCAAAACGAAGCCCTAAATAGAGCTCGCGGGAGATAAGTCCGTATGCCACGGCCATAACTACACCTGGGACGAAGAACAAGAGCAGGAGCAGCAGTACCGACCTGGAGACAGAATAGAGGCCGTCAGCGGGTCTCGCTCTATCCTGTTGTAATCGCAGACAGAGGAAGGGTTGAGGGTTGGTGTTTCCGGGACTGTAAAAGGAGTAGGACCTGCGGGTGCTACCGGGAGGGGCGAGAACCGGGGAGAGGGGGCACCAGTTGGAATCCCAGAGTGGTGGGTGCGTAATGGAAATTGGCGAGGTAATTCTTGGAGCAGCTGGAGGACGGCTCTGGGCACTGGTTTTAAGCATCTGCTGGAGATGCGGAAGGCAGTTCTTTGGAACAGGTCGTAGGCATTCTTACCAGGTCTGGTGGACCTGCGCATTGGGCCAGCGATGCACGCACTGCAGCACACGGGGCCCTGCAGGCTGCAGGGTGGTGTACACAGGGTAGGGCACCATGAGCAGTCCGGACAGCAGCCACGTAGCTACAATCACACGAGCCGCGTGAGAGCGTGTCTGCCACACTCGCGCTTGCAGTGGGCGGCAGATGGCGCTGTACCGCTCCAGGGCGATGGCTACCAGGCTTAGCGTGGACACACTCACAGACACTCCTGAGCAAGGGAAGAGGTAGGAGTCACCCAGTAAACTTGCACTACACACCGGTGTGACTTCCTACCCCCTTCCCCCCATGGACAAAGACCATTACATCCAGACTTTAGGAGCGGAGAGGGGCAAAGTGGGCGGAGTGTTGTTTCACCCACCCATGAAGTAGGAAACGGCCTTGCAGATAACTGTGCCGAAGATGAACGTGCCCATGAGATTTGGCAGCAGAGTGAAGGGCATGCAAGCCAGAGCCAGCAGGAGGTCGCTGACTGCCAGTGAGAGCAGGAAAGCGTTGGTCACGGTCCTCAACCGGCGACTCAGTCCCAGGACCACGATGATCAGCACATTTCCTCCGACGCTCATCAGAAAGATCACTGCGTAAAGGGTGACTCTAATGGCCAGCTCCAATTCTGGGCAGGAAAAGGAAGAGGCTGCTGCAGGAGGTCTGCCCTCACTTGGCCAGACCCTGATCCCACTTATCCCCAACCCTCCCTCTGCATCCAGATCAGGCACCTCCCAAGAACAACCTCCCCCAAGTCTAGGACCTACTCAATAAGCCGGACACTTGAGTCCTCTACCCTTCTAGCCCCTTGAGGTTTGGTTAAATCGACTGAACTCTAATGTAAAGTTCTCTGTTGAAAGGAAAAGTTCTGTAATTTTTGCTTTATTAAAAAGAAAAAAAAAAGCCTGTCTCTTCTCAAGGTTTGTCTCAAATCCTTCCTTCACTTTGCAGTCTTGAAAAAACAGTATTTGTGTCTTCTAAGTAACTTCTTTTTTATTTTTATTTTATTTTGTGAGAGAGATTTTTGCTATAGGGCATTTGTGCTCACTAGAGAGAGAGAGACAGAGAGACAGAAAGCAAGAAATCACTTCGGAGGGCGGATGGTCACACTGCAGTCCATTCGCCTCTCCTCCATTCTCCATTCAGGTTCTTGGGCACTCACGCATACGCACCCGGCATGAGTTTTAGGTTGCTGGGTCTGGGACTCGAGCAGTGGTCAACTACATGGGAGTCCAGTGACATACCCATTACACCATATTCTGGTCCCCCAAGGAACTTCTTTTTGCAGTCCAATGCTTCATCCCTCATCATTGTTTTTTTTTTTTTTTTTTTTTTTTTTTTTTGAGAGGTTTTCACTATAGGGCACATGCGCTCACCAGACAGAGAGAGACAGAGAGACAGAAACCGAGAAATCACCCCCAGAGGGGATGGCCACGCCACAATCCCTTCTCCTCCATTCTCCTCTTGGGATCTTGGGCACGCACACACACGCGCCCGGCGTGGGTTTTAAGCCACCGGGTCCGGGACGCGAACTGCGGTCGACTACGTGGGAGTCCAGCGACATAGCCATTACGCTAACTGCTGGTTCCCCCTCATCATTGTTTTGATCCTTCCCTGAAAGGTCAATAATCTTAAACTGAGGCCTAAGGTCCCTTCTAAGTTTATTTATTTGGCCCTTCTGTAGTATTTGACAACACAGGTGATTCCCCATTACCTTTGAACCATTTCAGACCATGTCCTTATTCTCTAAGAATCAAAAACAGACACCAAAACCCAACATCAAACTCTTCACTTACTGTCTACTCTCTGCAGTGTCTTAACAGTTAACAACATCCCCCGAAAACTGCCCTCTTCCTCCCTCACCTCTGTGCACTGCACCCACTGAAGGCACTGATGACTCAGTTTCTTGCATGCATCATGTACACTCGTGACTCTCTCCCTTCTCAAGTTGATTTCTCTGCCTGAGACACCACCACACACACACACACACACACACACACACACACACACTTCCATCTTCCATTACAAACGTATTTTCTGTATGTGGTGAATTGCTATTCATCCCTTGCCCATCAAAACTCAGACTGACTGCCACCTCTTCTGTAAGGCTTGTTTGAACATCTCATTTGATATTAACCTCCCCTTTCTCTAACCTATGCATGTTCCTTACACATCTATTATAACCCTTTCTATTTTCTGTCTTGAATTTTCATTTTTATTATCTCCAAACATTCATTCTCACAGAAGCATTTACAGAAAACTCCCTTTGTGCCAGGCACTGGGGAGAAAGAAATGAATATGGTAAACTCTCTGCCATCTGAGAGCTCATAGTGTAGCTGGTAATTCCCACAAAGCGTGATAAGCAGTGAGGCTGAGAGCTGTTCAGGGTATTGTGGGGGCTCACAGGAGGGACACCTCATGCTGCTGGGAGGCTGACCTCATTCATTTGTGCCATTGTCTGTAAGAAGACAGACGTCCATATCACAGCCAAGCAGGTCTAGACACAGCTGAATTGAACTGAACTGGACTGAGTCACTCTCATCCATGGCTTCAGTATGAGGGACACTGGAGCTTGAAGGAAAAGAGGGCAAAGGACAGAGCCTCCCAGATTGGGGAAAGGGTCCAGAGCTGCAGTCCTCTCTTCTATAGCCCTCTACATTGGCTGACTCTTGTCTAAGCCCCCATATTGAACTGTTTTCTCATAACAATAATCAACCTATTTAGAAGCTATTGTAGGCATTGGGTAAGTGCTATTTATAAGGAATCCCCAAACGGAACTCACCAGTAGCATCACTGTGCAGGACTGCACAGTTGGCAGGGGGCTGAATCCAAACAGAAGCCAAATCTCTGGATTGCCAAATTGCTTTGCCTCTTCCTACCCCGTTGCCATTCTTTTTTTTTTTTTTTTTTGAGAGGTTTTTCACTATAGGGCGCCTGTTTGTACAACCATCCTGGAGAACATTATGAAGGTTTCTCAAAAATCTATAGATAAAACTACAATAAGAACCCATAATTCCACTCCTGGGTATCTACCCAAAGGATAGAAAAATACAAAGCTGAAAAAACACTTGTACACCCACATTTATTATACCATTATTCCCAATTGCTAAGACATGGAATCAACCCAAATGTCCAAGAACAGATGAATGAATTGAAAAAAATTGTGGCACTTTCACACTATGGAATACTTCTCAGCCATTAAAAAAGGGACCCTGATATCTGATACAAAGTGGGCAAATATGGAAGACTTAATGTTAAGCAAAGCGAGCCAGACTTAAAAAGATGTGCAATATATGTCTCCCTTAGTACATGCTGAATGTCTGTACTCTGAAAGATTACAGGGTATAATTGCAGGGAGAGCAGCTGTGGATGCGAGAGACAGTGTAGGAGGGGATGGTTAATGGGGGGGGGTGAGAGAAAAGGGATCAGGTGAAAAAAAAAAGCATTTCACAGACACAAAAATAAAAAGATATCTGTTGAGGATAATGTATATGTACTATCTTTGACTTGACTGATACCAACTGTATTCATGCTGGGAAAAACAACATTGTATGCTATAAAGATGTACAGTGATTAAATGTAAATTTTTTTGAGAGGTTTTTCACTATAGGGCGCATGTGCTCGCCAGACAGACAGAGAGAGACATAGAGACAGAAAGCGAGAAATCACCCCCCAGGGCGGATGGTCACGCCGCAATCCCTTCTCCTCCATTCTCCTCTCGGGATCCTGGGCACGCACGCACACGCGCCCGGCGTGAGTTTTAAGCCACCGGGTCCGGGACACGAACTGCGGTTGACTACGTGGGAGTCCAGCAACATAGCCATTACACTAACTGCTGGTTCCCCCCATTGCCATTCTTACATTCACCTGTCTGCCTCCTTCTCCCAATCAAAGCTAAGTCTAAGTGCCTCTTTCTTCTGTCCCTATACTCTCTCGTGGCATCTCTCAGTGTGTTATTATGCTTAATTCTCTGTCTTCTCCCCTAGATGGTGAGCTTCCAAAGGACGGGGCAAGGGCCATCTCATTCTCAGCATACCCCTAGCTCTTGGCCTAATGTCTGGCTCACAGGAGGCAGTCAACATACGTTAATGACTCTTAAATGAATCTGTCTTTCAAGGTAGAAATGCACTTAATTTCATCTCCTCATCCATGCCTCACCACTGTCAAGGTACTTCAGGATTCCCTCACCTTTCTGCCTCTGTCTCTTTGGAGACACTTGTTGGAGGATCCTTACCAGGAGCAGTGTCAGTAATATGTCAATGACAGGCTGTGATTTGAATGCATTACTTCGGCTATTATAAACAAGCTATCTGTGTCTCATCTAGAAGCTGGGGCCCCTCTCTGTCAGGGAGGATTATGGAAGGCTTATGAGTGTCCAATTTGAAGTAGGGGTGTGTGTGTATGCATATAGGGAGGTATAGGGGGAAATAAAAGACATTTAGAGAGAAATCTCTGTCAGAGAGGTCCTTCGGCTCAGAAAAAAAAGAGCTGGTGGTCTATCTTGCACTTTCTTTATTTCTTCCAAGCCTACTGTCCCCCTCACTCACCTCCTACTTCATACCTCCTTAATCTTTCTGGCCTCTTCGTCTCTCTCAAGTATTCCTCTGGATGCTTGCAATGAATTACCACACTGATGCAATCACCATACCTCAAGTTGGTATAGCACTCTGAAGCGTGAAAGGCATTGTTCTCATTCATTCATCCAGCAGACGTGTCACATTTGTGTGCTCTTGGGCTTGGCTAATGGTGGTAATCAGCCAGAAAGATGAAGGTAGGTCCCTTACAATTCTGCCTGAGGACTCCTAAAAATTAGAGGTCAAAGTCCCAGGAAAAACGACTAGTGAAGTGATTATACAGCGCTCTGTAGTTTAATTGGGTATTCCTGGCTATTATTTTATTCTCAGTCACTACTGTCTTTCTGGGTTTTTGCTGTTGAACAACTAGGAGTATTAAAAAAACTCTTAAGTAAAAGCAATCTCAGAGCCAGGGGCTTGGGGAAATAGAGGGAGGGATGACTAGGTGGTGCACAGGGGACTTTTCAGGGCACTGAGACTATTCCGTGTGACACTATAATGGTGGACACATGTCATTACGTGTTGGTCAAAACCCTTAGAAGTGAACAACACAAAAAGTGAGCCCTAATATGTCTCACTAAGGTAATAAAAGAGTAAACTATGTGTGTGTGAGAGGTGGGGGGGACTCTGTCCTTCCTGCTTAATTGTTTTGTAAACCTAAAACTACTCTAAAAATAGCCATTAATTAAAAAAAGTCACACACAAAATAAATTAGAATTAAGAACTGCATATGTGTATCTGTGTGGTGGAATATGGGTGACTATAGTGGCTTTAGTGACAAAGAGCTTAAAGTAGGGTGGGAGGAGGGGAGATGGCACCTCCTGGGTACAACCATATCTACCTAAGCATTGGTTCCTTGGGGATGACAGGAGAGCAGAAATCAAAACAGAGAATCAGAAAACTTGGACAATTCGGTTCTTCTGGGGTCTAGAGAATCTTTGTTCATGCTACCTAGATGATAGCAGAGAAGTGGGAGCACAAAAATCCAGACAATGTAACATAAAACAAAACTCTAAGAAAGGACTCTGTAGAAACTGTGGATACTTCAAGCTTTGCCTTCCACTGATGTGTTGGATCTGATGTGTCACCATGCACACAGACATTGAAGTAATGCCTGTATTTCTGCGGTGAGCACAGACAGCATCCAGCTGACTGTGGGTGATAACTGGGTGGACAGAGAACATTCGGGTGTCCCATCCAAATGGGTGCTAACCAAGGGAGTAGAGGTACAGGCTGTGCAGGTAATATCAACGTGGGCATATATGACAGATAAATGACTGTGAGTGATGTTAAAGTGAGTGTGGGTAACATCTGTCTTTCTATGGATAGTGTCGCAGTGAACAAGTTTGCATGGACTGTGTCAGATTGGAGCGAGTAACATCCAAATTTCTATAGGTAATGCTGCAGTAAGCCTGGGTAACACATTCCTCTCTGAGAGTAATATCTGAGTGAGCGTGGCTAAGAATCTCCATGGGTAAATTCTGACAACTTGGGGAACATCTGATTGTGTTTGAGCAATGACATCCAGATAAGGGAGGCCGATCCTTGCACTTGTGCTCTGATTACTTCACAACTCATTTTCTCAGAGACTCTTAATTTATTGACCGTCCCCTTTCTCATCTGCATCTTCAAAATCCCTCTCCTGTGATCCATTCCTCATCAAAAATGCTCTTACCTCTTTTTACACACACACACACACACACACACACACACACACATCTTTCTTCAACCCTCTATCATTTCTGTCACTACGCCATTTTCTTTTTCTTCCTATGAAGTTTGTGGAAGTTTTGTCTGTGTACCCTGGTTTCCTCCACTGGACCAATTTTCAACCTGCTATAGTCAAGTTTCAATACCCTCGACTTCTCCAAGGACTTCCTTGTTATTGAACCTATAGGATGCTATTCTGTTCTTCCTGACTTCTATCAGCATCATTCGACATCACTTATCCACCCTCCTTGAAAAGTTGCCTTTCCTTGCCTTCCTGAAGGTCCTGTCTCTCTGAAGGTTTTATCTGAATCCCCTTCATGGACTCTCCTTCCTTTGCCTGGCATTTTTAAAAAAGAATTATTTATTTTATTCACTATTATTATTATTATTATTAATTTGAACAGAGAGAGACAGGGACAGGAAGAGAAAGGGAAAGTGAGAAAGCAAGCTGCTGGGTCTGGGACTCAAACCACAGTTGATCATGTGGGAGTCCAGTGCCACAATCACTATGCCATCCGCCAGTCCCCCTCTGCCTGGCTTTTTTTGTTTGTTTGTTTTTGGAGAGGTTTTTGCTATAGGGCACATGCATTCACCAGAAAGACAGAGAGAGACAGAAAGCGAGAAATCACCCCCCAGGGAGGATGGCCACGCCACAATCCCTTCTCCTCCATTCTCGAAAGGGAAAGTGAGAAAGCAAGCTGCTGGGTCTGGGCCTCAAACCACAGTTGATCATGTGGGAGTCCAGCACCATAGCCATTACAACAACTGCTGGTCCCTCTGCCTGGCTTTTAAATATTTGTCTGTGGTGACTTGTACCAGGACCTTTGCTCTTCTCAATCTGTTATATAAAATCTTTGTATTGATTTTATTTATTCCTGTGGCTTCCATTACCTCTAGGTAAAGTCTATATTTCTGACACTGACTTCTCCCATAGGTTTCAGACTCCTGGACTCAACAGCTTCCTAGGCAACCCCACCTGGGTATCCCACCAGCATTCAAACCCACTGGGTTCCAAACTGTATTTATATTCCCCTCTGAACATAACTTTGCTATCCTTCTCTTTGTTGTTCTTCTCTTTACATAGCACCAACAGCCATTCAATTGGTCAAGCCAGAAGCCTAGATGTCATCCCTCGATCTCTTCCACTGTCACCATTTCTAAGTTGCCAATTCTATTTCCAGAAGTGGCTTTCAAATCCATCCACTTTTCTCCATCCCTACCTCAGTTTAAGTTAGCATCACTTTTCACCTGTACCAGTGTAAGGTAATAACCTTCTAACGTATCCCCTGCCTTCCACTGCATGTCCTCCAGCCCATCCTCTATACTATAGAACTATCCCTGGCAGTCTTACAAAACTTCTCAGTAGTTCCCATTGCCCTCAGGATAAAAATTCACACTCTTAGTGCCAGTTCTATAAGGCTCCCTGTAAACCTTCTAGGATGGTCTCCAGCTTAAGTGTTTATTTTTCCGCCTCTTATGGTTCATGCTTCAGCCACTCAGCAATGTCACATGGAAGAGAGATGCCATGGATTTAAACTTGGGCTTTTTATATATCCTGCCCCTCGGGGATGTTTGCACCTCCTCTGACCCTTTATTTGGCTGGCTCTTCCTCATCTTTTTATTTCATTCATTATTAAATTCATGATAGAACATGTGCGTGCCCATGTGGGAGACAGAGATAGAGAAAGAGAGGAGTACCGAGAAAGCCAGCCCTCTTCCTCTCGATTTTAATTTCAGTTTATGCCTCCCCTCCTCAGGATGCCAACCTTAATTCCCAAGCTAGGCTAGACCAGATGCTCCTCTTGTGTTCCTATCAAGGCACTTCCACATTGTGCGGTGGTTCCCCTCTTACCTGTTTGTCTCCCCCACTACACTTCGAGCTCTATGAAGTAGGAAATGGGTTAGTTTTGTGTAACTCACATCCCGTGTCTACCTAGCACAATATCTAGTTCAATAAATATTTGCTGAATGAAAGAATTTAAGTGCGTGTGTGTAACAACTGGGCTGAGAAAGCATAGATTATTTCGTGGGGTAAATAAATACTTGGTCTACAACGTATTCCAGATTTCTCTTCTTAAGCTTAGAATAATTTCCTCCTGCTTAACATTGCTCTTGCTCCCCAAATCCCATTCTTTCTTTTCCTGCCTGCTGAGCTCTAACTTCAAGACCTTCACAAACTCCCTGGTTCCACCATCTGTGAAGTTCTCAGACCCCATCTTCTTTGGGTGCCCATGGTTCAGACCCTCTTGTGGACTTTCATGTTGACTGTGACTCCCCCCCCACCCCCATTGGGTTGTCTCTCCTCTGTACTCATCTATAACTGACGGAGGTGCAGACTGGGACTGGTTTGTCTCTGCAGCCCCAGTGCCTGACCTAGGGACCACGAGAGCAGGTGCTCAGTAAACACGGAAGGGAAGAGCGATGAAGAAGGGAGAAACCACGTATTTTGAGATGATCATCAAGACAGCGCAGATATTTGCTGATGGGAAGAGCGATAATCATTTTACAAAGTGGGTGACTGGAAGCAGTCTGAAGGGAGGGTGGAGAGAGATGGTGACACAAAGGGACTGGGTGATGAGAGGGTCAGGCTCTAAAATGGTGAGACCTACGGAGAGGCCAGCTGAAAATGGGGCTTGGAAGGCATATGGAGACATTACAGAGAGAGAGAGAGAGAGAGAGAGAGAGAGAGAGAGAGAAAACAAAGCCTTGAAAAGATCTCCACCTTGGGAGGCAGAAGGTCTCAAGGATGAGTAAAATGAAGACAAGGCAGCTCTAAAGAGCATCCTGCAATAGCCAGCCTAAGTCAGTTTTGAGGATTTTGGGGGGTAGGCAGAAGACTGGGATGGGGACACAGGAGATTTAGAACTCTAGCTGCCCCTCAGGCCTCCCAGAGTGCCCCCTCCTTCAACCAGCCCCCTTCTTTTCTGAACCGTGCCTTCCTTTCTTCCTTCCCTTCTTTATCTCAGCTCTCCATCTGGATGTAAAATGGAAAGAGCAAGCTGGAAGGGTTGGCAAAAGATCCTTGCCTCCAACTGTCCGTGTCTGAGAGGGGGCTGTTTTGGAGCTCTGGGTGTGACAAAATGTGCAGGGGTATGACCAGGTGTGAGGTGGTGATGGAGTTGTAAGAGACGGGGGGAGCCAGTGTGATGGGGAGTCGTTTGAAGGCTGCGGGGTACTAAGAGGGGGCCTGTGTGGGCATTCAACGGGGCAGCGTAGAGGTCGTGGGGGGCCTCTATTACCGATTTGGGGTGCAGTGAGAAGCAGTTCATAAAGGGGGCTTAGGGAGGCACCCACCTCGTGTCCCAGCTCCGCGGATGCGAGGGGACTCGCAGCTGAGATTGCCCGCACTGCTGCTGTTGAGGAGGGGGGCCCCCGGGCGGCACAGGGAAGCCCCTGGCCCGGGTCCGGACCCCGGCACGCTCCGGTTCAGCTTTAGCAGCTCCATGGCCCCCGCCGAGCTTGCAGCCTCCCTCCGCTTGGCTGGCGGACTCCCGCCGCGGTTCCACCTGCTCACGCTGCGATTCCGACTCAGACTCCCGCCTACCCCACCCCGCCCCGCCTGGTCCCGCCCGCAGCCCTGGCCCCCGCCCCTCGGCGAGGTGGCCCTCCCCGCTTAGGCTCCGGCTCCTCCCAGCTGTCTGCCCGGTCCCACCTGGTGACCCTTCGTCCTCTTCCCCTGCTCAGGAGTGACGCGCCCCACTGTGTGACTGACTGTCCTCCGGACTCGTCCCTTCTCTATCTCTCTCCAATCTCAGAGATATTTTTCCTGCCCACTCTCTACTACCGACCCCGATTCCTGGGAATTTTGGGGAATCTGTTTGTCCGCGCGCGTGCGCGCGCGTTGGCGGGGAGAAGGGGAGATGCGGCGGGGTGGACAGGAGAGTTGTGGAGAGGTGCTCGCAGGTGCAGCAGCGTCCAGCATCTTTCTCCGGTGGATCAGGGGATGTGAAAGTGGCGTCAAGGACCTGCTCGGTGCGCCGGGGTGGCACGCTGCGGTGCAGCGCCTTAGCCTGTGCCTAGCGGCGCGCTGACCGTACTGTACCGCAGTGGCCGCAGTGACCGCGACACTATCGCCACCTTCGTTCCCTGTAGCTACTCGCCGAAGGGTGGGGGTAGCCCCTGCATGTGCCTGGCACCCTCTACCTTATATCGAAGGTGGAGCACCCAGCTTCCACTCAGGGCTACCAGGGACCCCTCAAGAGAGGGGTCGTGTGGGGGACAGCATTTGTACCCAAGGGAGCCTTGGCTGGGGAAGGGCTGCTCAAGGAAGAGTCTGACTGGGGTGATGAGTGGTCGTGGGGCTGGGGGCTCTATTAGCCGCGGTGCTGCGAGGTGGGGGCGGGGTGTTGCTGTCAGCCAGGCCCAGCTCAGGCAGAAGACCTAGCAGGCGGCTGGCTGGCTTTCTCCGCGGTCTCCAAGCAGCGCCCACCCTCACCCGACACGCTGACGCTCGTGTTTGCTCGGCACAGATGGAGCCGCCTGTGTAGGGTGTCAGGTTCCCACGAGAGGGGGCCAGGTCGTCGGGGTGCAACGGGAGAAAAGTGGAGGGGTGGGACCAGCAGTTAGCGTCATGGCTATGTCGCTGGACTCCCACGTAGTCGACCGCGGTTCACGTCCTGGACTCGGTGGCTTAAAACTCACGCCGGGCGCATGTGCGTTGGTGCCCAAGATCCCGAGAGGAGAACGGAGAACGGAGGAGAAGGGATTGCGGCGTGGCCATACCCCCTAGGGGGTGATTTCTCACTTTCTGTCTCTCTGTCTCTGTCTGGTGAACGCTTGCGCCCTATTTTTTAAAAAAAAAAAAAAAAAAAAAGTGGAGGGAGGGGTGCCTTGCGGGGCTGCTGCTTCATTTCCATTCTCTGGGATTCCTAAGAAACTACATTACCACCTGAAATTCAACGGACTACTTACTCCCCTGCTCCAGGAGTTGTCATGAGAAGAGCAGATTAGGGTCAGGATGGAGTCTGTGGCTGAGAGGAATCCAGAGAGACCTTGTCCACTCATGTCTGGAGAGGACTTGGACAGCAGGCACAGAGTTCATAGGGACTGAAGCACTGAAGGAGGGCTCAAGCCTGGGGTGGATGGGGCTGTTATTACCTGCTCCCCTTTCCTTTCTGCCCGGTCCTGCCTGCCTTGCCCAGAGGAGAGCACTGGGCCAGAGGAGCCCGATCTGCTGTTTGTTCAGCTCCGGCACAGGTGGCACCTCA